TTATCTGTCCATAGTAAGTTTTGATAAAAAGTTTAAATCACGTCATGCCACGTCTAAGGGAGATATAATTTTTTTTAGGACATGGTGCTATTGTCAGAAATAGAGATTTGATTGATGTGTGGATAGAAGCACCGAGAGGAAATAGAAAACAGGTGGTTTATGAAAAGATATTATCTCTTATTGATATAACAGATGAACCTTCCAAACATCTTAAAAATAATATTATGAAATGCAGCCAGTTGTTTGGGTTGAAAATGGCAAATAAACGGCAGAAAGTAGGACAATCTCGGAATCGACTTTTACAAAATCAGGTATATTGGTTAGACAAGATTATATATAGAATAAATAATGATTCTGAAGAAAACACATCTTCGGATGAGGAACAAGAACCTCCTTGTCGCTCAGTTGGACGGCCACGGGTGCCATTTGAAGAGGCATCGAAGAAAACAAAACAAAGACGTGTAGCCGAACTAACCACAGACAGATCTGCAAATGAACTTCAATTTGCTGTAAATGTCGTTTCTGGAAGCAATCACAGTGAGGTCTCGCCACAAATTTTTAGTTTTAGTACAGCTGAAGCTCTAGCCCTTATGGTAGATTTGGATATATCCGTAAGAAAGTATTTGCTACTTAGGTCTGTTATTAATGGTAAGGCCCAGAACTGCCTTCCTAGTTATAAAGAATTACAGAAAACAAAAAATGCTATCCTCCCTTCACAATTTATTATTACTGAAATTTCTGCAGAAATTGATTTGCAAGAACTTCTACAGAAAACAGCTAAAGTATCCTTGAAATAATAAATTTTGAAGAGAGAGATTGCCGGATTAAAGTGATATGCAAGTGGGGATTTGATAGCAGTTCTGGGCATAGCCAATATAAACAGAAATTTTCTGATTTAGAAAACACCGACGAATTTATGTTTCTTGTAGCAATGACGCCACTCAGATTGATTGATATGGAAACGAATGTGGTATTGTGGAAAAATGAGAAGCCCTTCATCTACTTTATATTGTAGGCGGATCAAGTTTAAAAAGGAAAATGCTGATTTAGTGCGGAATACGGAAAAGGAAATAATAACAAAAATTGAAAATTTGATTCCTATTGAGATTAAAACAAAAGAAGGGCACTCTTATTATAAGTTGATATGATGTTAACAATGTTGGACGGCAGTGTTGGAAACGTTCTATCAGAGACAAATTCAACTATGAAGTGCATCATTTGCGGAGCCACACCCAAGTACATGAACACGTTAGCAGGGATTAACCGTCCTCCTAACGTAGACAATTACCGGTTTGGTTTGTCAACTTTACACTGCTGGATTCGTTTTTTTGAATGCTTACTCCATATTGGATACCGCCTGCCAATTAAATCTTGGCAGGTTCGTGGGCCTGAAAACAAAGCTATAGTCGAAGCAAACAAAAAACGAATCCAAGCAGAGTTTAGAGCCAAGCTGTCTCTAATAGTTGACAAACCAAAACCCGGGTATGGCTCCTCAAATGATGGCAATACGGCCAGAATTTTTTTCCACAATCCACAAACAATTTCAGATATCACAGGGGTTGACAGGGAATTAATCGAGAAATTTGCGATCATCTTAGGAGTGTTAGCTAGTGGTTGCGCTATTGATATGGAAAAGTTTGCGTCATTGCTGGAAGAAGCAAGAAATTTGTATATCCACCTTTATAAGTGGTACAACATGCCAAACACGGTACATAAGGTCCTTGTTCATGGGTGTGAGATAATTGATGCATTTTGTTTGCCCATTGGAGAACTGTCGGAGGATGCGCTTGAGGCTTGCCATAAAGAGGTTAGGAAACATCGATTATCTCACACCAGAAAATGTTCAAGAACAGATACGAATAAGGATCTCATGCGTGTTCTTTTACTTACTTCTGATCCTTTTATATCCTCAAAAAGAAAGGTGAGCTCAAAAAAATATAAGAAATGCAACGAGGCAGTTCAGAACTATTTAAAAAAGCAAGAAAATGATGATTTAGGTATTGACTTAGGTACAATAACGAATGACACAGCACCGAGCAAGAAATCCTATTCCGATTAGAATGGGTATATTTGGTGTTATTTTTTTAATATAGTTTACATTATTATTTCATACATTACCTACTAAGTAATTGTTATTTTGTTAAATATATTTTTTGAAATAAAAACCTAAATATCAATTTCAAATTATACAGATTTATTTTTTATTTGAATTATTCTTATTATTTTTTCAAATAGATAGACAAATTTAATAAATCATATTGCGCTCGCCACAAGTTGGCTACATTATCTTTTAAATCATTCGGTAAAGATCTTGAAAAATAAAAGCGTTACTTTTTTGTCTCTCTTAAGAATGCTATAATATCCTACCTTATCCCAATTTATTCGAGATCATCAACTTAATATTTTGACTTTTACAAAAAAAAAACGATTTATGCGAAATACATCCCGCCTGCTCCCTCACCTCTTCTTATTATTTTAAATAATTTTTGTCATGCTTTAGAAATGAATGGCTCTTTGTCAGAAATCGGCCATCCGTCGAAACCGGATGAGCGCTAGGACGCTTTTTGTTCGTCAAAGTACAGTACTGTGTTTCGGAAGCATTGAACTGTACAAGATTGTTGCGTCCCCAAGCAATGATAGCCTCCAGGTCTCTTGTTAGAGAGGAAATCGTCGCTAGTCTTCTTCTTTCCAGCTCAGCGGCAGAGATCGGCTTGTCACTCTAAATTCCTGAATGTAGAGTGCTGTCATCAGCGAAGCTGTGGATTGGGTTGATCGTGCAGGAAAGGAGGTCGTTGATATGTAAGAGAAACAGTGTCGGATCAAAGACCGATCGCTGGGGAACACCCGCGTTGACGTTGTGGGATGAAGAGGAGAACCCGTCAATTACGACGGATATCTTGCGGTTAGAGATGAAGTCAGCCACCCATCTACAAAGCTTTTCTGGAAGGCCATAGGATGGAAGTTTGCTTAGGAGGGCAGCGTGCCACAGCTGATCGAACGCTTTCGTGATGTCAAGAGCAACGACATGAGCCTCACCATAAGACTGGATGAGTTTACTCCACAATTGCGTGACGTAAGCTAGAAGGTCCCTTGTGGATCGTTGGTGCCGGAAACCATACTACCCGTCGCTAATCAAGCTGTGACTTTATAGGTAGTCCAGAAGCTCGCGATTTATGCACCTCTCCATCACCTTACTTATAACAGAAAGCAGAGCTATAGGCCTGTAGTTGTAAGGGTCGGTCTTAGATCTTTTTTTTGAGATGGGTTGGATATGAGAAAATTTCCAGTTTTCTGGGAAGGTGCCGGATTCATAAGATATCTGGAAGAGACGCGAAAGAACTGGAGCAAGCTCCGGTGCACACCTCTTCAGTACAATGGCAGGAATCAAGTCCGGACCAGAAGCTTTGTTGATGTCGAGCGACAAGAGCACTCGTCTTACGGTCTTATGCCTGAATGTTACCTCCCGCATAGTGTAGGGAACCCTTTGAATTGACGGCACTTGAGCGAGCGCTGGGGGGGGGGGGGGGGACGTCCATGGTGGAGTTGGCTAGCACTTCCGCCTTGGCCTTTGAGTCGAATACAATAGTTCCATCCTGACATGTAAGTGGTTTAAGGCTACTGTGTGAGAAGTTCTTTTCAATTTGCTTGGCCAGCGTCCAGAAAGACTGACTGCCATTGCGCTGCGACATTACCCTGTGCCTAACTTTTATATCATGCTGGTTTTTGGCTTTGCGAACCTCTTCGTTATATTTCTTTCTGGACTCGACGTCGGCTTGTCTGTTCTCTACAGTGGCGTTTTGTAAGAAGGTTCTGTGTGCCTTGATCTTCTGCTGGCAAGCAGTGTCACACGATTTGTTAAACCAGGCGTTCGACCCTGGTTTTAACACTTTCGCTGTGTGAGGGATGCATTCCTCCATTCCGACGTGGATAATTTCGGTTATCGAAGAACAGACAGCCGACGCATCCGTGTCAGTGAAACAGACATCTCTCCAAGGAAAGCTAGAGAAGAAGTGTCTGAGCCCCTCCCAGTCGGCATGTCCGTAATGCCAAATTTTCCGGCCTGTGCGAGTTTCTGCTTCCACAGCGGGTTCTGACCGAAACCTAACCTCCACAACACCGTGGTCTGAGTTACTCAGCGGGGACAGGACAGCAGTGCTGCAAGGCACAGGTTGCGTGGTCAGAAAGAGATCCAGCATGCTACTGGCGTGTGACGAGACGCGGGGAAAAAAGTAGGGCTCGTCACCAGCTGGGTCAACCCTTGAGTAAGAGCGAACGCCTCGACTGCATGACCTGCTGCATCGGTCTTGTTTGAGCCCAACCAAAGCTCATTATGGGTATTGAAATCACCGGGAAGAACTACCTCTGAAGCGGGGTGATTGATGTTCAGGAAGTCGATCTGGACGGCGAGGTATTCGAGCAGGTCATCCCAGTTATAGTCCGAGGGAAAGCGATAAGGCAGCAAATAAACTTGGGTAATGTTTTGGAGTTGAGGCGAAGCCACAGAATGTCCTTCCGGTCTGATTCCAAAGAAACATCTCTGGAGCAGGAAATACTGCTGCGGACAAAAGCCACAACTCCCCCGTTCTTTCTGAGATTGGTGTGCACCACGTAGTTTGGGAAGTTAAGATGGTTAATCGGTGCAGACTCTGAGATTTTTGTCTCCGCCAAGAAAAGCACGGCGGGACGATTGGATTGCAGGTAGTGATCAATGTTGCGCAGATGTTCGAAAAACAAATTTTATTTCCGATGTTGTTCCCTCGAGCCCACCCTCCACGCGGACATGCCGAGAGTGGAGTGAGTTTACGTCCGTTTATGAAAATATCAAGCTACATGATTTGACGAATCCCTATTCATCTGAATAATCTACATTTTGCAGCGGTTTTCAGTATTGAGCGAGTCTTGGCGCGCTATGGTAGTGAAAGTTCAAAATGTTGGCGCATACAGTGCTTTATTAAAAACGCTTATAGTAAACATAATAGAGAAGTTTGTAATATACTTACACTTTTTATCCATGGTGCAGTGAAAGTTGGTGTCATCGATGACCTGGTAACCGCCAAGTGGTTGTCGCTCGCAGCATCAAAATTTTCGAATTGTATGGCCGTTCTCCAAAATGTATCGTGCTATATATACACACGATTCGTAGTTGTAACACTCGAACAATGGTGTTACGGCCGCATTTTGTTATGCGTCTGAGACAGGTTGAAGTTAGTATGTAGGTCCAAATGATATGAGATTAGATCGCGAGCTTTGGCAAGTACCTTCTTGAATTCTTTATGCTCCGTATAAAATACAGTCTGTAACGGATAATTATGATGATAATATTAGAAAAATGTCTTCTTAATCCTACAGAACTTCATATGAACACATGGGTAGAAACGGTTCCAGTCGGCAACACAGCCAGAAAGGTCGAAAAACTTTGTAATACAGTTTAAGATATACTAAGTGACATATAAATCCGAACACCCAGTTTAAATGGTTTTATTTTAATAAAATTTTGTATAAGTACTTAATGAAGCATAATAAGTAAATGATAAAAATTTCAAAATGATTGCACTGCTTTAAAGCCGTTTGACCTTTAATAATGTGTGGATGCACCCTGATGTGCTACGCATTCTCCAACGCGCCTAGGCATGCTGCACCACTCAAGGCGATTACGTCGGTGTTCTCGAGTTAAAGGGAGGACCCAGTGTGGCCGGTATGAAAACAAGCCAAAACTTCTCATTCGTCGGTAAACACTTCGCATGCCAATAGGTCTTCCGTGTTCTACAAACCATTCATTTGCAATGGACCTGGTAGTGGATAAACGGTCCCTTAAGGCCAATAATCTTAGGCGGCGATCTTCACGGTCTGTTGTTCTACGGCGGCGTCCAGTGCCCCTTGCTCTTTGCGTACGGCCTTCTCGAAGCCATGCCTGACAACACCTGTAACGGTTTCACCGTCCGATTGTATTTATTAAATCACTTCTCGATTATCATTTCAGAATCGCAAGTCATTAATCCCATCTCTAGGTTTTTTACTTGGAAACATTTCCGCTTGGAGCGCGCTTGATGCGGAGTTCCTGATCTGCGATCTTCGTCGCGCTTCCTTTTCACTTGAGCCGCCGATCTAACAAGAGCTAAGAATTTTGTTCTCTGTAGCATGAGGTCATATAGCACCATGTGCTAGAATGTTGTAGAATGTGTGTCCGAATAGGACAAAATGATTGGGGCCACCCCCTTTGCCTTTGTCTTTGACTTTTGCCTTTGTCTTTGACTTTGCTTTTCCCTTGTCTTTGACTTTGCATTGCTTGGCCTATCACTTCACCCATGCATGTGCCTTGACAGCGCCATCACCTTTAAGTTCAACTTCGCCTACAACTAGTTTTGAAGCCACTAAATGTGAGGTCACCCTTCATAACTGGGTCCTCCACTTCAAGCACCTGGCCATCCTCGCTTCAGTCCAGTCAAAATGGACCGGCTTAGCAAAAGTTAAGTGTATAGTTTTATAGCAGCGCCGAAGATTTAAAACTTATTTTGTTCTTTAAAATTTCAATTTCAAATGTAATGAAAATGCTTTTTTGTTAAATAAAATCTGTTAAATTTTTGTGTTCTATTTGTTCTTCTATCCTCTAGCCATGCCATGATCGACACACAGCTACACGCCTGTAGATGTCTTCATGCCACCGACTGAGCTACCTGAAGCTAATGGTAACCCCCTTTCTGTGATTGTGCAGAAAAGTTGGAATCTTCATTGCATTCCATCTTTTCTGGACTTTTTGCGGAAAGGAAGGGTTACACACCTAACCACAGTGTCTACACTTCTTTGCACTCTAACTGCAATTGCCCGAAAAGAAAGTCCAGCTTCCCGAAGTCCCACTATACGGCCCCTATCAAACTCACTAAGTTGACGAAATCGTACAGGTCTCCGTACTCTAGGCATCGTAACCGATCGTGAAGGATGTCAAGAACCAAAATCCGCCAACGTTGATTCTTTACTGCGGCTGCAATATTCATTTTTAGAGCGTTAGTGAATTAAAAAAAAAGCAGTATAAAAACCGGAATGTCCAACTGATAAGGCTGAAAATTTTTTCACTTGTTATTTACAGTAAGATAAATACATTCACCAGCTTTTATTAAAATAAAACCATTTAAACGGGCAATTGCAGTTAGAGTGCAAAGAAGTGTAGACACTGTGGTTAGGTGTTGTCAGGCATGGCTTCGAGAAGGCCGTACGCAAAGAGCAAGGGGCACCGGACGCCGCCGTAGAACAACAGACCGTGAAGATCGCCGCCTAAGATTATTGGCCTTAAGGGACCGTTTCTCCACTACCAGGTCCATTGCAAATGAATGGTTTGCAGAACATGGAAGACCTATTGGCATGCGAAGTGTTTACCGACGAATGAGAAGTTTTGGCTTGTTTTCATACCAGCCACACTGGGTCCTTCCTTTAACTCGAGAACACCGACGTAATCGCCTTGAGTGGTGCAGACAACGGTCACTCTGGGATCAGGAATGGAACAGTATTGTCTTTAGTGACGAGTCTCGATTTTGCTTAGGCATGCACGGTGGTCGTGCCAGGGTTAGAAGGCGACGTGGTGAAAGGAGGAATCCACAGTTTTTTGTTGAAAGACATGTTCATCACACTGTTGGAGTTATGGTTTGGGGTGCTATAGCTTATGGTTCCAGGTCACCTTTAATCTTCAGCAGAGGTACTATAACATGAACGCGCAGCGTTATATCCACGAAGTTCTAGAACCCCATCTTTTACCCTATCTTGACACCCTGGCAGTTCCAACTTTCCAACAAGATAATGCCCGACCACATGTTGCAAGAACACAATAGACTTCTTTCAACATAATGATGTCACATTGTTACCATGGCCACCAAGATCTCCCGACTTATCCCCAATTGAGCACGTGTGGGATATGATGGGTAGGAGATTGCTCAATTTGCAACGTCCTCCTCAGACTCTAGAAGCACTTCGAGAGGAGTTGGTGGTTGCCTGGAATGAGATACCACAGGAGGACATTGACCACCTGATCAGAAGCATGCCTAGGCGCGTTGGAGAATGCGTAGCACGTCAGGGTGCATCCACACATTATTAAAGGTCAAAGGGCTTTAAAGCAGTGCAATTATTCTGAAATTTTTATCATTTACTTATTATGCTTCATTAAGTACTTATACAAAATTTTATTAAAATAAAACCATTTAAAGTGGGTGTTCGGATTTATATGTCACTTAGTATATGTTCAGACCGAAAACCGACTTGCACGTCAGGAATCTCATGGTGATCTGACGAGAAATTCTCATCACCTTCTTTGGAATCATAACTTCAGCGGTCTTCCACGCAGATGGGAAGTACTGTGTCCTTAGCATGGCATTGACTATTGCCACGAGATAAGTTAAGGACTTGCGCGAAAGCAGCTTCAGCGCCTTATTAGTGATTTGATCCTCCCCAGGTGCTTTACGCACTTTAAGGTCTTTAATATGACCTTGAATTTCTGCTGGTGTGCAATGCGGGATCTCGGGAGATGCCGCTGATGTACTAAGCAGATCTTCGGTTGAAGAAGCTTCTGAAGAAGAATCTTCTGATGAAGAAAAATCACCAACGGTAGCACGACTGTCACTGACGCCGTTTGCCCTAATGAAACATGGTATCATAAAATAGTAATCGCCTGTCAAAATCATCATCTAATAGCTCTTAAACCAAGGTAACTTTGTAAGGCTGGAATTTTTCCGTCTTTCAAATGCCTTCCACAGACATGTGAGATGTATTAATTGTCATCTTCACCAAGTGTTCCGGTAGAAAGGTGGAGGGTTTCCAGCTATGGTCACTAAAATATTCAGAGCCTTATTTTCGTCAGGGGCTGTTTTGAAACGGTCCAGATCGTGGAACATCCCTTACATGTCCTGTTATTTCAAATTTCTTCAAAACTTTTCCATCAGTAGACCTTGTTATTGGATTCCGGTTGGGATATTTGTCATTAAAAGTATCGGAAACTTCTTGCTGTGTGCATCGACGATCGGCATAACCCATAATCATTAGAATTATTTATATTCTCTCGGTTTCAGTTAAACGAATCATTCTCAATAACTCTACTAAGAAAACTCAATGGACTTTTTCGATGCCGGTCATTGCTTAGGTGGCAAAATACCGTTTATTGTTTGAATATTAATGTTTGACCGCGAATATTCCGAAAACTATGAAGTCTACGTCAAAGTCTGGTTGATAAAAAGTATTCAGAATTTCTCGCAGAATGCAAATATCGAATAAAATGTATATCATTCCATAAGAAAAGCAAAATATGCTATCAGTTTCTGAAAAACCGTAACTTTGGTAACAACAAGAGAATTCTCCCAGAATCGTTTTAATTTTTTCCTGACTTTACTTGTAGTGGGATTTCAAAATAAATTGCACATCAGCATTCCAACTTTTTCCTCCCTACAAGATGACGTAATTAGAATTTCAATATGACGTTTCGTCTCTTGTCCTCTAGCATCAGCTTTATTTTTTCTTAATGACGCCATATTGTATTTTTGCACAGGTGAATAGAGTTTTTAATGCTAATTCCAAAAATGTGTAACATGCCATACATTGACATTGCTAAACTCTTATTATTAAAAAAAAAACAGAATTTCCTACGTAGGCCTTGGAGTTATCATTTGTTTCATGTACCAAATTTATGACTAAAACATTTTTTTTCTGAGATGGAATTTCAAAATGAATTGCTTTTTGTTAATGCCACTGTTTTTCTCTACAAGATGGAGTGGTCAAATTTTCAATTTGAGGTTTGTTCTTTCGACTTTCCAACTTTGTGTTTTCATATAGACGCTATATTGGAATTACGTACATTGGAATGGAGTAACCGAGCCGTGAACAATGTACAGAGAAGAGTCAAGCTTTTCCTACAAAATAACGGACAACGTTTTGAATATTTGCTACGAGGGATGTCATTGAAGTTTTGCATATAGAAACATAGTAGGCCACGCGGATCGAACGTCAGTACTGAATCTTAACCTCACTCTTTAGTACACTTAAATTCAGTGAATTTTTAAGTGTCGCCAAGTCATTAGAAAAATGGAACTCAACCGAGAACATTTTCGCGCCATAATTTATTACAACTTTCAGAGACAAATTTTCAACAAGAATGCCTTGCTGAGTTACTGTCGCTTTTCGGCGACGAAGCGCCACATTAGTCGACAATTTCCCGTTGGTATGGAGAATTTAAACGTGGACGGGCGAGTCTTAGCGACGATCCCAGGATGGGTGCACCCAAAAACGGCAGTCACCCAGGAAAACGTCGATGCTGAGCGTAAACTCATCATTGAAGATAGACATGTGACATATCGCGAGATTGAGGCGTCCTTGAAGATCTCAAAGGCCTCAATTCAAAAAAATTTACATGAAGAATTAGGAGTGAGAAAATTAGTCTCTCGTTGGATACCCCACCTGTTGACTGATCAGCAGAAAGCGGCCAGGGTTAATTGTTGTCAAAAAACGCTTGACCCTTTCAATTCCGGAAACTCAAAAAATGTGTACAGAATTGTTAGTGGTGATGAATCGTGGATTTACCGTTATTAACCAGAAAATAAACGACAGTCGGCTGTTTGGGTGTTCCAAGGTGAAGAAAATCCAACAAAAGTCATCCGTTCTCGAAGTGTTTCGAAAAAGATGGTCGCGACATTTGTGTCAAAAGCAACAATTCCTCTTAATGTTGGATCTGCCAGCAAACGAGTGGAAAATTGGTTAGAGCGCATGCAGATGTGTATTAATCTCCGTGGAGAATACTTCGAAAAACAATGTCATTTAAAACTACCTACCGTGTTGTTTTATTTCCATATGCAAAACTTAAAACACATCCCTCGTATGATTTGCCTCTGCTTATATGTGATTATTATTATTACTAACAGTATTTTTGTTGGAGATCATTATAAAGAAGTATACAGGGTCTTAATTAAGTATGTAACATAAATTTAGCAGACGATCCTTCTAGTAGTTTCAAGACAAAAAGATCATATAAACATAAGTCCGCAAACTCTTCGTTCTTAAGATACAGGGTGTTAGAGTTTTAAAAAAATGCTTTTTCGTAAATATCTTAAATACTCTTTACCTAATTTTGTTGCAATAAAAAATTATATAAAAATAATTTCCAAAAGAAACTTTACCCCATATTCCTTGTGTGGTCCGGGGATATGCAATTAAGTGGACCTTTTTTTTCTCCAAAACTAAGGACCGTATGTCAGTCGTTCCTACAATTATTGTATTGATTTTCATAGTATTTTCTCTCCTCCAGAAAGGCTGGGGTATTTCTAGATTTTAGATACGAAAAAAAATTGGTATTTCTATTTGCTTAATCGAAACAACAGAATAAAAATTGCACAAAAGTCAGTGGCGTACATTTTTTCGTCACAAATATTCGTTTAAATCTCGAGACGCCACTGGACATAATAAATTTGATTAAGTTACGGCTAAATTAGCTCCTTAATTTTATAAATACCATCACCAAATTACATCAAAATTAGGTAAAGGATATTTAAGATATTTACGAAAAAACTATTTTTTTTAAATTTTAACACCCTGGATCTTGAGAACGAAGAATTTGTGTACCTATGTTTATATGAACTTTTTGTCTTAAAATTGCTCAAAGTATCGCCTGTTAAAATTAATAGTACACGCTCAATTAACATCCTGTATACTAATTACCCAACGTCATAAATTCAACGGGTTTCAAAAAAAAATAAAAAAAAATTGTCAGACTCACCAAAAGGAAGCTGCTTCAAGTATATATAAAATGGGTTATGTACTGAGGACTATATTGTATCGTTCGGAAATTTTGAAAATCGTTGCGAAAAATATTTATATGATTTTTTTATCGATCATCGATATTTATCGTTTTTCAAAATGAAACGATAAGCAATTGATTATCGATTTGCATGTTCTAATACCAATAAACCTGTCCAAAGCTCGGGATACGAATCACCGCATATCATCTGTACTTGATCCACGGCCTACTATCGCACAGTGCAGTTTGGTCGATGCGATCGTCGACTGTTTCACGAGCGAGCGTCGCGACGGCGTACCCTGTACGTTCCTGAAGCCGCGTCGCGGGACACACTACTACTGCAATATGTGTGTGTATACCGCACCGTTGACCTGCAGCTGTCAGGAGCGACGCTTTGCGCTTTTTACAACATGCGCTCTATTATAGGTTTCGGCTCGCGATTGTAAGATTGTAGTCCAAGAAATAGGAAGACTTTGTAGGGTGAATGTGCCAGTGGTCGAACAGTTTAGACAAAAGTGTAATTACGAATTTTGTGTTCAAAATAACACAACTTATGCTTTTGGAGCTGATTATACAGGGTGGCGCATCGAAAACGAAACAGACGCATTTACTGACAGCTCAGTGTTTTTTTTTTTAAAAACGCTCAGACCCGTCGATTTTGTTTTCGAGGGGGACTCAAGTTCGGCAAAAAATCACGTTAGCACGTGCAGTCCCCTAAGCTGAGGTGACACCACCCCCAAAATCTTAAATGGAAAGGGGGGTTGAGTGATACCTTATTTTAAAGGACTTTCAATTCCCTTTATAATGATATAAAATTAATGTACTTCAGTTCAGTAGTTTTGAAGATTTATTGATTTAAAGCTTAAATAAAACTAATACATCATCATTAGTGGAGATCAATACACAGTCTCCAATTTGCGGGTACTTAACGTAGGATCTACATAAACTTGCCCTAAAACCACCACTTCTATTGCTTCGTTCCTTATGGGATTTTCAATGTTGCGTTTTTTATTGGCGACTGACCCAGTTTCCCGAAATTTAGCTACAAGTTCTAGAACATATTTTCGATACACGTTACTGTTCTCATGTCGCTCATTAAATATTTCTGCTGTTCTATTAGCGCACTGATTAATTCCGAAAAATATTTGAAAAATTTCAACTCTTTCTGCTGTGGAATATACCATGGTTAATTTATGTAATAAAGCGTTACAAGTCATTTTAGCAACAAAGTTTGGTTCAAATCATTCGCAAACTATGTATACTTTATCTGTCACTTGAAACACTGTGAAATACCGGGTGCGTTTTATATATCTATATTTAACACGCTCTGTTGCTGCAAAAATCGCCAAATTTCGCAGCAAATATCCCCCGTATAAGAATCAAAGGCAGTTTCACCGGTCCACGTGGAGTAAAGCACGCCTATGCGTGGACATAGCCAATGAGAAAGCGTGTATTTCAGAGCTCTGAACAAGTGCAGGTGGCTACTGAAAATTGAAACAGTTTAGCCAGTGCCGTGTAGCGGTGAATAAACGTGTTTTCTTTAGTCTGTCCGTGTTTTTTCATAGATTTTATTAGTTTGTGTGTTTTTGACTTTTGAATACTCAGTTTACTCGTTGATTTACTTGTTGTGTTTATTGTTCTTGTGTGTCCTAAATCTGGCTCTTTGGAGACCTTGGGAAAATGCTCCAAGCCACGAGGAGATGGTTGATGAACCTGTGCAGGCAGAATTCTTTCATAAAGATTTAGAGGAACAGACCCAAAGAGTAATCCTAAATATGTATGATTGTCTGAAAAACGAAAATCCAGATTCCTCGCAAAATCAAATTTTAAACAGAATTTGTATCCTGACAAAAATCAGTCGGTCTACCATTTATCGGGTTATAAAAAGGGGAAATGTAGTCAACCATTCCTTCCACAGAAAGCGCATAGGGCAAAAATTAAAACGAATAGACGTGGGTTTTCAGGAAGATATTCGTCGTATAATATACGGATTTTATAAATAAAATTTGGTGCCCACGTTGGAAATGATACGGGGTAAATTAAAAGATTATCCTGAAGATTTTTATAATTACAAATGCTTAGACTCACTGCACTGTATTGTAAAACTGTGTGGTTTTCAATACAAAAAAATAGATAAAAGAATGGTGATTATGGAGTCGTCTCGAATCGTTGAATTGCGCCAAGAATTTTTGCACAAAGTTAAAATCTATAGAGAGCAGAAAAGAAATCTGATTTACCTGGATGAAACGTGGTATGATACCCATGATGTTGTGCAGTACGGCTGGGTTGACGACAGCAACAAGTGCATTTTAAATGCACCATGCAACCGTGGAAAACGAATCATTATTCTCCATGCTGGCAGTGAAAATGGATTTATACCTAATGCCTTGCTGTTATCTGCCAAAAATATCAAAGAATCATGTGCCGACTATCATGAGGACATGACCTCCGACTTATTTGAAAAGTGGATAGAGCAGCAGTTAATACCAAACATTTCCCCAAATTCAGTGATTATTATGGACAATGCGCCATACCATTCCCGACAGAAAAACAAAATTCCGAATACAGGCACAAAAAAACAAGACATTATTGATTTTATGAAGGATAAGGGAATGGAAATACCACAAAAATCAACCAAAGCCATATTATTGGATCTTATTAAAAGACAAAAATTTGAAAAAGAGTATGTTGTTGACAATCTGCTTCAGCAAAATGGCCATGAAGTATTACGTCTACCTCCCTATTACTGCATTTTTAACCCGATTGAGTTGGTCTGGGCAGCTTTAAAAAAAAAGTAAGAAAACATATTCAGACCCCTCAATTAAGTGAATCGCTATTGGCCACAATAAGAGATGCAGTATCTCATATTGCTGCCACAGACCTATGGAAGCAGTGTTCTAGGCATAGTATTGAAAAAGAAAATGAATATTGTGTTTTGCCTCCTGTAAATCCCGTTGTAATTCCTCTACAAGATGACTCTAGCGACAGCTCCGAAGGCGAGGATGATATATAAATACCTATAATGTAAGTCTTTATATACCTTTTTATATACCTACCTGCTATGTAAATATTTGCCTATCTCAAACGTTGGAAATCTGTAATTTTTCCATTTCTTAACTTTCAGTCAACATAAATTAAACTCCCAATATAAGTATTTTTTATCCCAAATCAAAAAAATAAGAAGATAGTAAAATCCATTTATTGTGATATAAAAACATTATTATTATTGTTCTAAATAAATAACCGCACGCCTATGATACGTCATGAAATTACAAAGGACGCGCCGACCAAAGGTTTTTATGCTATTTCAAGTGACTTCAGATAAACCATACTAAACTCCTATTTAAGATAAGTATACTAATAGCTATTTTCAACAACAAAATGATAAACAAACCATGGGCGTAGTGAAGAAAAGCATTTACTTATTAAGTACATTCTTTCAGTCAAATTTCTTCTGAAAGTAGTACAAACTAATTTGATGTACCTATTAAAATCTACTTTAAGCTTTAAATCAATAAATCTTCAAAACTACTGAACTGAAGCTCATGTATTTTACATCATTATAAAGGGAATTGAAAGACCTTTAAAATAAGGTATCACTCGACCCCCCCTTTCCATTAAAGATTTTAGGGTTGGTGTCACCCCCGCCCAGGGGGCTGCACATTTTAACGTAATTTTTTGCCAAACTTGTGTCCCCCTCGAAAAAAAAAGACGGGTCTGAGCGTTTTTCCAAAAAAAAAACTGAGCTGCCAGTAAATGCGTCTGTTTCGTTTTCGATGCGCCACCCTGTATATGTTGTTAACTTTTCGCCGACAATAAATACATTGCTTATAGATATTCTCGGACAGAAGGTGCTACTAGTCGGAAGGTTAGTTCCCAGTCGTTAGACAGCATTTTTAGACAGAGCCGTATTTAAAAATTTGTGATAGTAGAATAGAAATTTCAAATCAGCTGTCATTAGTACTTTGAGGAAATGAAATTAATAAACAATGCTTGAGCGAGTCGTGTCGTCGAGTCATTTCTCCATGGATGGGTGCTTCTGATGACGCTCACAGCGATTATAGCGAGCAAACGTGGAATGAGCTATTCTGCACACTAAAAATTACCTAGTCTGCAAGATGACATTTTTTCGTTTATTTTTTAGGTTGTTTACATAATACCGCCATTTGCCGTCATTTTGATATAAACGCGTTTTACCATCGCTCTTATTTAAAAAGGTAATAAAAAAATGGCGTCGAGTAGATTGACGGCACTTGTCAGTTCAGAATTATGTTCAGCACAAACTAGATCCTCTGAGAAAAAACTCAGTCAAACAGGTCCCTACAATCAATCCATAGACATTCTTTCCCTGCCCCACCGGTAGTATGGAAATCAAAAAATAAAAATAACGCTGACGTATTTTATTTTTTTGGACCAAAACATCCACATATTTCATGAACGTTTACATCCCTGAGTGCACAGCCGCGTTGACATTGTGTGACGAAGAGAAGAACCCGTCAATTACGATGGATACTCGTATCTTGCGGCCAGACGGCCTGCAAAGCTTCTCGGGAAGGCCGTAGGATGGAAGTTTGCATAGGAGGGCAGCATGCCACATATAAAAGCTTTCGTAATATAAAGAGCAACGACATGAGCCCCACCGCAAGACTGGATGACTTACTCCGCCAGAAGCCATACTGCCTGACGCTAGTCATGTGTCGTTCGCGAACGAGTCGTTCAAAATGAACGATTCATCTAAGTGAGCGATGATTGAACGACTCTTTTATTACATATATGACTCGTTCAATTGTCCAAAGCGTGTCTGCATCTACAGTATGCAACTGAACTGCCAGCTGACAACGTGGTAACAGTACAGACACTATCTGGGGAACCCGGTTGTTTTGTTTTGAGATGTAGCATTAAATTATACGTTGAAATGATGGGATTTGAGAGCAAAACTTGCATTTTGATCAAGAATTCGGTAATTCGCAAAACCGGGCCACACATCCCTTCTTTTTTCGGGAGACAATATACATTCGTTATATTCAATTTCAATCAAAAATATGTATTAATACTTAAATGAATACAATAACATCGGCAACCCTAACCCTTCGTTTCATTTTCATAGTATGATGTGTATTCTGACTCAGTGAGTCGTTACTATAGGCAACACAATACTCTCGTCAGTTTCGAGGCCGGTCGGTAATCGTATCGTTCAAATGAACGACTCCGATCGAACGACTCACTGAAGAGATGAACGAAATGAGCGAGATCAGAGAAAAGAGCCGTATGTCTCAAGCCTATCTGACGCTAATCAAGCCGTGACGTCCGAGGTACTCCAGAAACTCGCGATGTATGTACCTGTACAAAAATCTGCAATCCAAGTTGCACA